ACATAAGAAATAGTTGACTGACACTTGTAAATCATATTCCCTCCGTTCCTAAATATAAGCCTTTTTAGCGATTCCAAATATGGACTACATATGTAGCAAAATGAGTGAATCTACACTCTAAAATACGTATATATACGACCTACTAATTTCATGATATTTTATTGGATTCCATGATATGGTGAATCTTGTTTTGCTTTGCGGAAGAGATATGCAGTCTTTTTTTTTTCTGTTGTGTGTATAGCCTACAACATAGATCTTGCTGCCCATTGAAAGTTCTCAATGTATGTTCTCGTTGTAACCTACAGACAATAGCCACAGTTTGCATGTTCTTGGCGGGTAAAGTTGAAGAAACTCCCAGACCCATTAAGGATGTCGTACTAATTTCTTATGAGATCATCCACAAGAAGGATCCTGCCGCAGTTGCTCGAATTAAGCAAAAGGTGACATATTTAATTGCAAGTATTGTCTTGATATTTCTTATGTAGTTGCCTGTGCTATCCTTGTTTCCCCACACTTCTACTCCCTCCTTCCCATAATATAAGAGCGTTTTGACACTACACTTAGTGTAAAAAACACTCTTATATTATGGGACAGAGGGAAATTATTCCGCCAATCTGCCAAAAAAAATTCTTTACATTCATTATATTTTATCCCCTGATTCCTATGACAAGAATGACTGTTGAGGATATTTTTGTGCTGTTTTGTGCAGGAGGTTTATGAACAACAGAAGGAGCTTATTTTAATCGGGGAGCGTGCTGTGCTTATAACACTTGGTTTTGACCTGAATGTGCACCACCCGTACAAGCCCTTGGTTGAAGCAATAAAAAAATTCAAGGTTGCTCAAAATGCGCTTGCTCAAGTTGCGTGGAATTTTGTCAATGATGGGTATGCCGAAATTACACTTATCCTTACAAACATAGTAACCCCCAATTATGCCTATTTAATTACTGCGCCTTAAAGGGGTGTACAGGCTACGTACTTCGCTTTGTCTCCAATTTAAACCCAATCATATTACGGCCGGAGCAATCTTCCTTGCTGCGAAGTTCCTCAAAGTCAAGCTTCCATCAGATGGTGAGAAGGTCTGGTGGCAAGAGTTTGATGTAACCCCGCGGCAGTTGGAAGGTTGGTCTCTAGATTTAATTCACTAGTGCATGTTTGCACTATTGTACTATTCAATCTCCCCAGAATAGTATTTCACATCCTCGCAGGTAGCAGCAGCTGTTGACATGCTTTAACTTTCTAGGAGCCTGTGTGGATTGGATTACCAAAATTTCATCATTGGTTCAAAACTGATAAGTGTAGGTTGCCTAGGTCAAGCAAGATACATGCTGTTGCTTGATGTGCTCAAGGGAACCTTATAATTATTAGTGTTCTGGGATAAGCTAGGAATGTCATGTCAGGAGCATACCATGTGTACCCGGCCTCTCGTGTGGAACCTGAAAGAATTGGGTTTGTCTATTTTTTAGTGTATTGGTAGATCTTATCACTTTTGTTATACATACATTAGCTTAGTAGCATCGCAAAGAGATGTAAATGAAAAAAAATACAATCTAACATGAGGATGACACTTCTATTTTGGTGATTTTGCAATAAGCACTACTTTCTGTTAATTATATCCATTATTACTAGAAGTGATGCTCCTTTCTCTGCCACTGTTACTTTTGATGCTCTTTGTTGTGAAGTACTCCAATAACATACACACACCAAGCACCCGTGCTTATATTAATTTCGATTATTATTCTTTTCAGAGGTCAGCAACCAAATGTTGGAGCTCTACGAGCAAAACCGTGTGGTGCCACCACCGTCCCAAGGGAATGATACCGAAGGCAGTTCTGCAAGTGTGGTTAATCCACGTGCTGTGGGGAAGGCTCCTGGAGCTGCTGACGAGCGTCATGCTCATGGAAATCATCAAGCACCTCAACAGTCGAGCATGGTAGGCCCCCCTGAGAAGCAAAACTCAAACCAGAGGATACCCAAGGTGGAAGCAAAGGACGGTATTGCCAGCAGCAACGAAGGCCCCAATATGTCATCCTCAATGGATGCAATGAAAAAGATAGACAAGGATAAAGTGAAAGCCGCGCTTGAGAAACGGAGGAAATCAAAAGGTGATGCGGGTAGAAAGGTTGACATCATGGATGATGATGACCTGATTGAGAGGGAGCTGGAGCATGGCGTGGAGATGGCTGTCAAGGATGAGAAGAAACACGACAGAAGGCAGAGCTGGCCCCAGCCCCCGCACCAGAACGCCGAGGAGGGCGAGCTCTCCATGGACAGTCA